TTCCTTTTTTAAGTGGTTGCCCTAGAGTTTGCAATATACTTTTACAATTAATTCAATTCCACTTTCAAATAACACTGTACAACTTTACAGGTAGGGCAAGAACTTTATGATAACAAAATTAATTCTAATTCCTCCCTCCTGTCTCTCATATCATTGTTGTCACTCATTTCACTTATACATAAACTGTGAGTGTTGATTACATTGTTGCTATTATTATTTTGAACAAATTGCGATCTATTAGGTCAATCACAAATAAGAAAAATTAAAGTTTTTATTTATCTTCCTTTATCCATTCCCTAATGCTCTTCCTTTATGTTGATCTGAGTTTCTGACCTATGTAATTGTTTTTCACCCTGAAAAATTTTTAAAACATGTTTTGCAAAGCAGGTCTACTGGCAACAAATTCCCTTAATTTTTGTTTACCTAAGAAAGTCTTTATTTCTCCTTCACTTTTGAATGATAATTTCACAGGATACAGAATTCCAGGTCTTTTCTTTCAACACTTTAAATATTTCACTCCACTCTCTTCTTGCTTGCTTGCATAGTTTCTGAGGAGAAATCAGATGCAATTTTTATCTTTGCTTCTCTATAAATAAGATGTTTTCTCTCTGGCTTCTTTCAAGACTTAAAGAAAAGTCTTTGATTTTTCTGCAGGTTGAATATGTTATGCCTAGGTATAGTGTTTTGGTTTCTTCTGGCATTTATCCTGCTCAGAGTTGTCTGAGCTTCCTGGATCTGTGGTTTGGTGTAATTAATTTGGGTAAATTCTCAGTCATTGTTGCTTCAAATATTGCTTCTGTTTCTTTCTCTTTTTCCTTTCCTTCTGTTATTCCCCACACACATATGTTACACCTTTTGTAGTTGTCCCACAGTTCTTGGATATTCTGTTCCACTTATTTCAGTGTTTTTTCTCTATGCTTTTCAGTTTGGGAAGTTTCTATTAACACATCCTCAAATTCAGAGGTGCTTTTCTCTGTGTTCAGCCTACTAATGAGCCCATCAAAGGGATCTTCATTTCCGTTCCACTGTTGCTGACCTCTATCATTTCTTTCCAATTCTTTCTTAGAATTTCCATCTCTCTGCTTACATTATCCATCTGTTCTTGCATGTTGCCTACTTTTTCCATTAAAGTCCTTAGCATATTAATCATAGTTATTTCAAATTCATGATAAATCCGACATCCCTGTCTGATAAATCTGACACCCCTGTCATCCTCTGGATCTGGTTCTGACGCCTGATCTGTCATTCAAAGTGTTTTTTGCCTTTTAGTGTGCCTTGCAATTTTTTATTGAAAGGCAGACATGATACACCGGGTAAAGGGAACTATGGTAAATAGGCCTTCAGTAATGTAGTGTTAAGGCACAGTAGAAGGGAAAGCATTCTATAGTTCTATGATTTGATCCCAGTCTTTTTAGTGAGCCTGTGCCCCAGGGGTGTGAATTTCACATTCTCAGATTTTTCTTTTCTTCACTTCCCTTGGGTGGTACAGGATGGCTAGATGGGGATGGAATTGAGTATTTCCCTTTCCCCAAGTTGGTTAAGCTCTGGTAAAAAAAAAAAAAAAAAAATCCCAGTAAGTTAGCCACTGGTAAAATAGTTCCTCTTGAGAGCAAGCCTTGTTAAACAGAACAGAATGCTCTGGCATATTTCAGAATGTTTACTTTTCCATTCCCCCTGCAGGAAGCAGTGGGGGATTTTTTTCTCCAATTTTCACTGGGAGAACTCATGGAGATAAAACTCACAAAAGTATAAGAGCCCCCTATGACTGGGTCCCCCTAGAATTTTTAATTCTGGGACTAACCTACAATGAGGCTCCAGCAATTTATCAATTTATAAAAAAAAAATTCATGTTTTTCTACCCCAGTAATTGTTCCCACAAAAAAAAGTGGGTTTCTACTCTGGTAAGTTGTGATTCTCTAAATCCACCTATCAGTCTCTCTACTTTTGGGGCAGCGTTTTCCCTGTGACCTCACTTCTTTTACAGATCTAAGAAGAGTTGGTATTTCTTAGTTTGTTCAGCTTTTTACCTGTTGTTAGGATGGACTGATGATTTTTTTACATCAGACCAAAAACCAGAAGTCCTATTACTGTTAAACAAGGTGCTACAAAAATATAAGTGTCTTTTCCCAGAAGATAGACAATATATTAGCAATAGGGAAAAGAAAATTAACTCTCTGCTAAAAGCTCTTTATTCCCACTAGAACTTTCTTGCTGCATTCTAAGCAGAAGTACTGGCATATACACAGCATGGAATCAAGAAAGAGGACAGTTCTTCTAAGGAACTACAAATGTTCCACAAGATTGGTATGAGACTTGTGCGGCAGAAGATCAGGAAACAAGAAGGGAAATGTAAGAAGAAATAGGATATTCGGGGCCTGACGGGCCTAGCTACAAAATTTGGGTTTTATCCATTTCTTAGCACTTGATGATTTTTTTTTTTTTTTTTTGTCTTTTTTCGTGTCCGGCAACGGATCGCAACCCTCAGTGTCGCGCCCGTACCGGACCGGGACCGGCAACGGGATCGCAACCCTCGGTGTTGCGCCCACACCTCGCTCAGCCAGTGAGCGGGAACCGGTCTGTATGTGGGATCCTAACCCTCGGCGGGAGCGCCACCGCGCTCTCAAGCGGCGCACTGTAGCAGTGCGCCACTGGGCCAGCCCAGCACTTGATGATTTTTAAATAGAATGACATTTATTTGTTTATAACCCACCTCATTCAAAAATTATTAGAGGTAGAAAGGAAATGGCATTGATTGATATATGTTTTGGAAAGATCACTAAGGGGGCATTAGTTTAGAAGTGCATTAGATTTGGGGACCTGGCATCAAGGAAATCAGATGGGAGGCTCTTTCAGTAACCCTGTGAGAAATGATGACAGCCTGAACTAAGAAGCAGCAGTGAGGAGAGAGAGGGCACAAGATGTGAGAGGTAGTTAGGGCTGGTGACAGACTGAATGCACAGATGAGGGAATGGGTGAAGTTGTGACTCCCAGGTTTCTGGCTAGGGCAAGGAGGTGGAGGGTGTGACCACACAGAGACAGAAGGAACAGTCCATTTAAAGAGAAAATACAAGATGAGTTTTAGGCAAGCTGAGTTTGATATGACTGAGATATCCTAACGGAGTCAGATATCTAGCAAGCAGGTGTATGCCCAAGCCCGGAGTTTAAGCGAGCCATCCTAATTTGAGATAATAATCGGGTAGTTATCCTTACATATATAGAAGTTAAAAGCCACAGTGCAGATGAGAGAGTGGAGTGAAAGGGGGAAAAGACTTTGGACAGAACCTTTGAGATCACCAACCCTTAAGGTGTGTACTCAGGAAAAGAGCCATGAAAAATATTGAAAATACACACAAAGAGGAGAGTACTGTGTCTGGTAGAGCTAGTTTAACAAAATTCAGCATCTACAACAATCAGAGTTTAAGAGTAAACGACCAAATACTCCATTCTCCCTCTCTCTACTCTCTGGCCCACTCCAGTCTTTTTATTTATTCATTTATTTTTCTTTGCTGGCTGATACAGGGATCCAACCAACACCCTGGTGTTATCAGCACCACGCTGTAACCAACTGAGCTAACTGGCCAGCTCCTGGCCCATTCTTTTTTTATATTATTATTTTTATTTATTTATTTATTTATTTTTTTGTCTTATTTGTGAGCGGTAAGGGGATCGCAACCCTTGGCTTGGTGTCGCCGGCACCGCGCTCAGCCAGTGAGCACACCGGCCATCCCTATATAGGATCCGAACCCGAGGCGGGAGCGCTGCTGCGCACCCAAGAGTGCGCCACGGGACGGGCCCCTGGCCCATTCTTTAAACACATCAAATGAGTCCAGGTTCAGGAGACTTTGCTTCCCCCATCACCTCCTTGCAAAGTTCTCTCCCCATGTCCTCTTGAGCGTCCCCTGCCCCCCCACACACCCCCACCCCGCTGATGGAACTGGAGCTTGTGAAGTTTCCAGAATGGGCTTCCCTCCTTTGTGCCCCTTTACCACTAATCTTACAGCTCAGTTTCCTCTCTCAATGGCAAGTCCCTTGAAGGGTTGAATCTTACTCATCCTCCTGTACCCAAGTGCACATGAAGTGTGCGGAAGGGAAGGAAACATTTGCCCATGGAGCACAAAGCTGGTGCAGGCCTGTCACTGCTTCTGACGTGCAAACAGTGAGATTCCCGCTTCCTCGCCTTCCGTCTCTCTAATACGTAAACCTTATCTACAATCACTGGACTAAAATTGTCAGACAAAAATGTTTTGCAGCGAGTCTGTCGGATTAGCCACGAAGCCGGTGCCATCTAGCCTTGCCGGAATCCATCCACCCTCGCGGGCAACACCACCCAGGGGCTCACCAGAGCTTGGCCCGCGCCTTGCGCGTGGAGCCCCCGGAAGCCACGGCCCACGCCCCGCCCACGCCCCCATTCCCGCGCGGCCTCCCCGGACTCCGCCCGGAGCTGACCAGAACCCATCGACATGGCGCCGCAGGTATCTTGCCGGAATCCATCCACCCTCGCGGGCAACACCACCCAGGGGCTCACCAGAGCTGGGCCCGCGCCTTGCGCGTGGAGCCCCCGGAAGCCACGGCCCACGCCCCGCCCACGCCCCCATTCCCGCGCGGCCTCCCCGGACTCCGCCCGGAGCTGACCAGAACCCATCGACATGGCGCCGCAGGTATCTTGCCGGAATCCATCCACCCTCGCGGGCAACACCACCCAGGGGCTCACCAGAGCTGGGCCCGCGCCTTGCGCGTGGAGCCCCCGGAAGCCACGGCCCACGCCCCGCCCACGCCCCCATTCCCGCGCGGCCTCCCCGGACTCCGCCCGGAGCTGACCAGAACCCATCGACATGGCGCCGCAGGTATCTTGCCGGAATCCATCCACCCTCGCGGGCAACACCACCCAGGGGCTCACCAGAGCTGGGCCCGCGCCTTGCGCGTGGAGCCCCCGGAAGCCACGGCCCACGCCCCGCCCACGCCCCCATTCCCGCGCGGCCTCCCCGGACTCCGCCCGGAGCTGACCAGAACCCATCGACATGGCGCCGCAGGTATCATCAAATTTAGATTCTGGATGAATTTTTCTTTTTGCTTTGGTTCTCTAGGTTAATTAACCTCGTTGTTAGCATTCTGGTTTTATTTTTTTTTTCCTTTTTGTCTTTTTTACTGACCGGTAACGGGATCGCAACCCTCGGTGTTGCGCCCGCACCACGCTCAGCCAGTGAGCGGAACCGGTCTCCACATGGGATCCGAACCCTGGGCGGGAGCGCCGCCACACTCCCAGGCGGCGCACTCTCCAGTGCGCCACCGGGCCAGCCCAGTATTCTGGTTTTGACCTTTGGAATTTTGTTTTGCAGTTTATGGTACATTGAGGTGAAAAAAGATTCTAATCCAGTGTCTGAATTTTTTGTACTATCAAATTTAATATCTGCATTTTAATTTTAAAAGCAATTATGTCCAGCCTCACCAGTTTACACAGGCCACACCTTATATATTTATATAGTTCACCTCTCCTTTTCCTCAGCTCTCTGTTCTATGGCTATTAATAATTACTGACTTATTTATGCAAAGCTATACTGTACTAAGGACTGTACTAGGGACTTCATATTCATTCTCATTCACTCCTCACAATCACCCTGTAACTGTGTTTTATCACCATTTGTAACTACCTATTCCTCATCCTTCGGTATCCCGATTAAAAGTGATGCTTTCACAAACCTACCAACAAAAACTATACTTTTTCCCCACTTTTTGCTTTCTGTAGCAGTTTATGCCTGCCTCTTTAAATCTCACTTTTAGTGATTCTTTCAGTTTTGTTTTCTATAAACCCAGTAGTTTGCAACCTTTATTCTGTCAACAAATTTTATAAGCATTATGGAAACTAACCAAAACCTTCCTCATTATGCTTGATTCTCTGGTAGTAGAGGGGTGTACTGACTGTAATCTCTAAGGCAGCTCTGTGCTGTAGATACATAATACGAGTCATATTTGTAATTTTAAATTTTCCAGTAGCCACATTAAAAAGTAAAAAGGGGGCTGGCCAGTTAACTCAGTTGATTAGAGTGCATCCTTATAACACCAATGTCACAGCTTCGGACCCCATATGGGCCAGCTGCCAAAAAGTAAAAAGGAACAAGTGAAATTAATTTTAATAGTAGTATTCAAAATACTATTTCAACATGTAATCAATATTTTTAAAAATATTAATGCAATATTTTTACTTTTTCTGTACTAGGTTTTCAAAATCCATATATGTTTTACACTTATAGCATATCTTATTTCATACTGGCCATTTTTCAAGTGCTTAATAGCCACACATAGCAAGTGGTTACTGTATTGGACACTTATAAGGGATATAGTTTTTTTTTAAGTTCTCTTGTTCTGTTACTCCTTATCCTCCTTCCCACCTTGCAATTTCACACTAAACTGTTGCTATTTGAACTAGTCTAAGCAAAAGAATTTCATGTTAAGCATACAAATTCCTTGGACTCAATGCCAGACCTACTGAATCAGATTCCCTTGGAACTTGTGTTCTTAATGTGCTCTTACTTATGCATTATAAAGTTTCATTAAATATTTGATGAATAAAACTTTTTAACCAAAAGAGGCTTTTATATCTGACCAGATGATCATCTAAGTTAAATCTTTTTTTGGTGTATATTATTTTAATGAAATCTAAAAACATTTTTCTGTATCATTTAGAGGTATTGTTTCTTTGTGAATCTGTGACATACTCTGTAAGATTAGCATTCATTATTATCTAAGTTGACTATTAAGTAGTTATTAGTTTAGGAGGATAAACCACTTACTCTCTTTTTTTTCCCATTTCAGGTTATCAAGTGCAGGGCTGCGGTTGCCTGGGAGGCTGGAAAGCCTTATACTCTGTAAGATTAGCATTCATTATTATCTAAGTTGACTATTAAGTAGTTATTAGTTTAGGAGGATAAACCACTTACTCTCTTTTTTTCCCATTTCAGGTTATCAAGTGCAGGGCTGCGGTTGCCTGGGAGGCTGGAAAGCCTCTCTCCATAGAGGAGATAGAAGTGGCACCCCCAAAGGCTCATGAAGTTCGAATTAAGGTAATGATATATTTAAGGTACTGGAAAAAAAGACTTACAATTAGGTCTCTGGATAGGTGAGTAGACCTGAGGTCTTAAGAGGATAAATCCCAAAGGACAGCATCAAGGAGAAGGGATTGAAAGTTATCTGACCTTAGAATCACAACATCCTCCTCTTATCCCTCTCACCTTTGCAGCACTCCTCTCCATCTGTTTAGCTTTGATCCAGCCATTCCCATGGATCAATAGATTACTGCAATTTATCTTCTGTACTTTGAGTTTAAGATGACTTTGTAGGATGCTCTCCTTTTTGCTGATCACTTAACTTAAAGTGGATGGTGACATGTTAGATACAAAAAAAGAAGAAATGGTCTTCAGTTTTGTTAGAAGAGACATCAAACAAGATTTAGGAAGAGATTCCTGATTGACTGGAACAAGCAGCAAGTGAAATTTGCTTGCCTAGAGAGCTTTAAAATGTACTGACCCTGGCGGACAAGGACAGGGGGTTCATTATTCCAGGACTTATCAACCTCTACTGTGGCTGAGAAATGAAGTTACCCCTGGAGAGGCATTTTGCACAAGGCAGCCAACTGGAGAGATCGTTAAAGCCTTGACATTTATAAACCTTCATATTTTTAGTATTCTGTTCTCCACTTGTTTTAATATAAACTTAACACTGTAAAGTAGTGACCATTAAATAAAACTAACATTCTGGGAAAATGTTATATTCTGGCAAAAGAGTCACAGCTCTTTTTTGCTGTGATATTGTTTACTTCCCCCATCCCTCTTCCAAACACACACCACACATACTGGCTCATCCTCCCAAGGATCACACATATCAGGTGGAGAAGCCCAGGACCAAATAACTTTTTTAGGTCCTTTCAACCAGACCCAGGAATCTGAAATCTTATAATACTTTGTATGTTTTTCTTCAAGTTCAGAAATTAAGCTGATTGTGATATTGCTACTGACGAAGAAAATGTTTTGGATATGCTAAGATGAGCTGTATGGGGCACAGTGAGTTCAGCTGTCTTCCTTGGGAAACTGCTGATAGATAGCAAAGAATGTTACATTGTAAGCGGGTATATAGGCCAGAAGCAGAGAAGCATAAATTCATACACTCCAAGACTTTGCCTTCTGCCTCATGGTGGTTTGGAAAGGTGAGATACTTAAAAGCCAGAAAGATAGGGATAAAGGGCTTATTTAAGTAGAAATTGCATGTGGTTGCTAAAAAGGGAGTTGGTTCCACTGCAGACTCTGAGTTTTGGCCCAGACTCAAGCAAACTGGCATATTTCAGAAATAGTCAGTGCCCTTTTACCCATCACATTTCCCAGCAGTCATGAGGAAGCCAGCACTGAGATGGGCTTCACCTGTTTTGCGCACATACCTGAGGGCACAGTACCTATAAAATCACCTTGTTTACTTTCTCTTTCTAACCTACACTGAAAAGGAGAATAGATGTGGTACATTTAAGTGAGATGGGCTTCACCTGTTTTGCGCACATACCTGAGGGCACAGTACCTATAAAAACACCTTGTTTACTTTCTCTTTCTAACCTACACTGAAAAGGAGAATAGATGTGGTACATTTAAATGCATATTTCATTGCATATAAATGTGCCATTACTTTTATGTACAACTAAAAAAATGCCAATTCTAATTATTAAGATGCCATGGATTGTAAGCACATGTTGGTTTTAGGGAGGTTACAATATGAGAGAAAGGTATCTTAGAATCAAAAAAATATGGTATGAAAGTAAAATGCCTTTTCCTTTGCTTTGTACCTCACTCAGAATTGCATGCACACACATTTAAATGCTCCTTATTTTAATATCCTGCTAGATCATTGCCACTGCGGTTTGCCACACCGATGCCTATACCCTGAGTGGAGCTGATCCTGAGGGGTGTTTTCCAGTGATCTTGGGACATGAAGGTGCTGGAATTGTGGAAAGTGTTGGTGAAGGAGTTACTAGGCTGAAAGCAGGTAAGGACAGTTGTTGGGAAAATATAGGAAAATGGTCAGGACCCCTCAGATGTTCAGAATCTTGCCAAGCATTTGATGTAAATATGCATCTACACCCAGGTGTTCCTTGGTTGTTGTCTAATGTAATTGCTCATGTGCACCCAGGTGTCCTGGGTTATGACTTAAGTATAAAGGACCAGTGGCTCTGATCCACACTGCCCCGGGGGGCCACGGGGATGCTGCTACCACTGCTGGAGGCTGTTGCTGCTGCTTCTACTGAGGACTGAGCTTGTGTTGTCTGCCAACGGCTCCTGGGATCTTTCCCAATTATCGAACCTGGACCTGCATATGAGGGGTCTGGTGACCCAGTCTGTACAATGGGTTTGAAGGGTCTGAGCCCTAGCCCTGACAATACAAATGGAAACTTAGTATAACTAAAATAACGAAACATTTTGGCTTTAGTTGTGATTTGCCTTACTCGACAACTGGCTAGTCATGTAGCCTTACAACAGAATTTGAACCACTTTGATGCTTTTGGCTTATTTCTGTAGGGAAATTATTTCTCTGATAAAATATACAGATTATTTATGAACAGGTTATCACCTAAGTAAGTTGTCAGGATTGATTTTATTCCTCATATGGAAAACACAAATATTTGGATGTTTTTTTCCTCTCTGATTTTGCAAGCTCCTGTTTGTCTGAAGTTAAGTATATTTCCAAAGCCACTTTTAGAGAATACATCAGTGAGTCAGTATCTGAAGCACGTGATCTCCTTGTTCTCCAGTTATTGTTCTAAGAGTTTCAATTAGATGAAAAACTTTGAGTGCTGGCCGGCTAGTTCAGTTGGGTAGAGTACAGTATTATAATACCAAGGTCAAGGATTTAGATCCCCATACTGGCCAGCTGCAAAAAAATAAATAAATAAAACATTTATCTGGAACATACTTTTTGTATGGTCAGGCAGTGTCTTAATGATGTTATGTAGGTAAAGGTCTAAGCCTTGATATTGTTAACTTTTCAGAGCCACATGAGTTGACAGGAATGAGAATTTGTATAATAATAAAACATTTATCTGGAACATACTTTTTGTATGGTCAGGCAGTGTCTTAATGATGTTATGTAGGTAAAGTTCTAAGCCTTGATATTGTTAACTTTTCAGAGCCACATGAGTTGACAGGAATGAGAATTTGTAAGGGCTAATGTATCCATTTAGGAACAAATGTACCCTATTCAGAATAATGTTGCATTTGTTTCCCAGGTGATACTGTCATCCCACTTTACATCCCACAGTGTGGAGAATGCAAATTTTGTCTAAATCCTAAAACAAACCTTTGCCAGAAGATAAGGTTAGTGTCTTTTTATTTTGTTCTTAAAACAAGAGGTCATATTAATACTGATAATAAGTAATTGTGTGGCAATTTATACAGAACATTTTATGTAAATTATTTAACCCCATCTTTATAACAACCTCAGTATCATTATTATTAGTATCCCTATTTTCATAAGAGAAAATTAAGACTCAGAAATTAAGGGATTTTCCCAGTATCACCAGCCATTAAGATATAAAACAGAATTTTTGAACCCATTCTCTTTCCATAACACTAGGCTAAATTTGCCAAAATATGTAGAGAGGAAAAACATGCTTGTGAGATTAAATGAAATCAATTTTATGAGCCATTTTATTATTCATTAAATCAAAGTAATAAAATTTACCTCATAAGGTTATTTAGGAGAACCACTTCACTCAGAAAAGGTAGTTATTTTTATTATATTAAGGTAACAGCACTTAAAGAACTACTTCTTTGAGGCAATTTAAGATCCCCTTGTATTCCCTTTTTTTGTTCTTTTTTGTTGTTGAAGTAGAACATACTTATAATAAAGTACTTAAGGTATTCATATCTTAAGTGTGTAGCTCAGTGAATCTTTATGTATATACAGACCTGATGATTAGAACTGTCACCTAGATCAAGATAGAGAACCCCGCCAGCAGCCCCCAAGTCCCTCATGCCACTTCCAAGTCAGCCCCCACCCTCTTCAGTGGTAACCACTATTCTGATTCCTTTCACTATAGAACTTTGTATAAATAGAATCATGCTGTGTTGTGCTCTTTTGTTAGGTTTCTTTCATTCATAATGTGTATGAGATATATCCAAGTCATGTGTGCATTAGTCATTCTTTTTTGTTTCTCTGTCATATTCCATTCCAAATACCACTATTTATTCATTCTCCAGTTGATGTACATTTACATGTACATCAGGTTGCTCTCAGTTTGGGGCTATTATGATCAGTGCTGCTAGGAACATTCTTATACATATCTTTTGATGGGTATAGCATTATTTTCTCTTCGGTATTTTCTTGGGATTGTAATTGCTGAGTCATAGGATACACATTTAAAGCTCTCCAAAATGATTGTGCCAGTTTACACTCCACCAGTAGTGTATGGGAGATCCGTTTGTTCTTGCATTTATTTCCTAATGCCATTGATAAAATTAGTTTATATTTTTGGAAAACAAAATTTCATTTATTTTATAACGTAAATCCAGTTACTTTTGGCAAAGCTAGAGCCAAAACAAAAACACCTAGTCATTTTAAAAGGGAAATTCAAACACGGTCTGAAAAATTTTTAACACATCAAGTGTAATAATGATGATGGGCTTTCTGTGACTAACCTTTCAGAATAATAAGCCTTTTCAAATCATAAAATATATCCTACATCACCTTTTCTTCAAGAAACTTACCTGGAACAGAGTGATTTCTCACATTAAAGAGGGCTAAACAAACTTAGGTTGGTCTCATAAAGATATAACAATTATTTTGGTGGGGCTTTGTCACCTCTTGTTTCTGTTCATATTTTTGTTTTTCTCTTAAAAATGTGAATCTAGAAGTAGTTTATTTTCTCTTTGTATATTCTTTCAGATAGATGGATACATAGATATAGATATATATTCCAATGGATTTATCTGAGTGTACATCAAATTATAGCATTTATTTTATTAAAAATAACAAATATGTACTAAACATTCAGTCTGTACCAGACACAATGCTAACGCTATACATAACATCTCATTTGATTTTTATAGCTATTTATAGGGAGGATGCTATTGTTTCTCTGCATTTTCCAGTGAGGAAACGAAGGCACAGAAGTAATTAACTTCCCTGAGATCACACAGGCTTTGAACCAATGTGGGATTCATACACCTAAGCAAAATGTTAATTATATCACCTATCTCTTTAGAATATCAAAAGTAATTTGTTACCATTTATTGTATTGGTCGCCTTTGTGAGGTCTTTGGGTTTTTAGTCTGTTGGCGTTAGCTACGCAGAGAAAACAAAGTGAAGAGCAAATATAACTTGACTGTTACTCTTTTCAGTGTAAAGGCCTTCTGAAAGACCTAAAGCCAGTTTGGACATCTGTTTCTATCAGCTGATCTGGATAAATGTTTGTAATCTCTACTTGTGTAGATGCTGGTTTGGGCTTTATCCTTTTTGAAGTTGTATTTGCTCACAAAGTATTATGATGGCATTTTAAAATAATTTTATCTGATCCATAAGTTGGACCTCTTAAAATGAGTTCAGTACCCCGACAATAAGATCTAGAAGGATATTGAATGTTGGAAAAGATGGGTTAAGATTATAAATGTCTTTATAAATTTCCCTAATAAGCCATTGCTGAAAGGTGCTAAATTATTAATGAATACATTAGAAATTAGACTTTTTGTCTTAGCATACTTTTTGAGTATTTATTGGTCATCATTTTAAAAACTGATTTCTGGGCCGACCCCGTGGCGCACTTGGGAGAGTGCGGCGCTGGGAGCGCAGAAGCGCAGAGACGCTCCCGCCGCAGGTTCAGATCCTATATAGGACTGGCCGGTGCGCTCACTGGCTGAGCGCGGTGTGGGCGACACCACACCAAGGGTTGCGATCCCCTTACCGGTCACGAAGAAGACAAAAAAAAAAAAACTGATTTCTTTCTCCTATGGGGTTTTTTGTTTTTGTTTTTGTTTTTTTTTAAAGATGACCGGTAAGGAGATCTTAACCCTTGACTTGGTGTTGTCAGNGAGACAAAAAAAAAAAAAACTGATTTCTTTCTCCTATGGGGTTTTTTGTTTTTGTTTTTTTTTTTTTTAAGATGACCGGTAAGGAGATCTTAACCCTTGACTTGGTGTTGTCAGCACCACGCTCTCCAAAGTGAGCTAACCAGCCATCCCTGTATAGGGATCTGAACCCGTGGCCTTGGTGTTATCCGCACCACACTCTCCCAAGTGAGCCACGGGCCAGCCCCTCTCCTATGAATTTTAAGAAACCTGATTCCACCCTACCCTTTTCCTTTTTTATTTTCTTTAGAATCACTCAAGGGAAAGGATTAATGCCAGATGGTACCAGCAGATTTACTTGCAAAGGAAAGACACTTTTACATTACATGGGAACCAGCACATTTTCTGAATACACAGTTGTGGCTGATATCTCTGTTGCCAGAATAGATCCTTTAGCACCTTTGGATAAAGTCTGCCTTCTGGGTTGTGGCATTTCAACTGGTTATGGTGCTGCTGTGAACACTGCCAAGGGGTGCTGCTGTGAACACTGCCAAAGTCTGCCTTCTGGGTTGTGGCATTTCAACTGGTTATGGTGCTGCTGTGAACACTGCCAAGGTAAGAGATTGGCCTGGGTTTTAGCCTTCTAATTCAACAAAGCTTTGCTGGATTGGTGAAATTGGCTCGATATGTAAGAAACCTAATGATTTTCTTGACTCTCGTGGAATGAGTACTTCATAAACTGTCTTTACTGTCAGGTGGAGCCTGGCTCTACTTGTGCCGTCTTTGGCCTAGGAGGAGTTGGATTGGCGGTTATTATGGGCTGTAAAGTGGCTGGTGCATCCCGGATCATTGGTGTGGATATCAATAAAGAGAAATTTGCAAAGGCCAAAGAATTTGGAGCCTCTGAGTGTATTAACCCCCAGGACTTCAGTAAACCCATCCAGGAAGTGCTCATTGAGATGACTGATGGAGGAGTGGACTTCTCCTTTGAGTGTATTGGCAACGTGAAGGTCATGGTGAGTGTGCTTGACTTCATTCCTTTATTGTGTGTGGAACAGCTTTTTTTTTTTTAAAGGCAGTTTCTTTAATTAAAGTTAAAAGTTGTTTTGTCTTTGCAAAGAAAAAGTCTCTTTTGATAAGAATTATTTTAATGGAAGAAGAGAAATAACTACTTGAACTACAAATGGGAAATGATATAAGAATGACTTGGAGAAAGATGGAAATGTTTCTTTGCCTTTCAGTGAATGCTGAATGTATGTCTTATTAAATGAAAAGGCAGAAAAATAATAGTTGTAGAGAGCATGGGCTTTGGAATTAGATGTACATTCACTTAGTAACAAGTGACCTTGAGCAAACGACTTCTCTAAACCTCAGTTTCCTCATCTGTAAAATGCATAGTAACATCACCTACTTGACACTAAGTAGACACTCAGTAAAAGTATTACTGTTACTTCTCCTACCTGCTTCCTTTTTTAAAGTCTTCAGAATTTTGAGCTATGATTTACTTTGAAAAACAGAAAGCAAATAAAAGCTTCACATTCTTTCAATTCATGTTAATATTTAGCCAGGTTAATAATTTTTCAAAAAAACTGTCAAAATTTAATTGTTCAACAAAATTAAACTTACTAATCATTTTCATCATTTTGTTGTCACTTTTTTAAAAAGCTCTGTGCCACCACCCCCTTCCCCTGCTAGAAGTTTCTGGTGAAGCAGTTATTCTCAGCAGAGTGTACTGACTTCTGTGATTTGGTCATATCTCTGTGCCTGCAGAGAGCAGCACTTGAGGCATGCCACAAAGGCTGGGGCATCAGCGTGGTGGTTGGAGTAGCTGCCTCAGGTGAAGAAATTGCCACTCGTCCATTCCAGCTGGTAACCGGTCGCACGTGGAAAGGCACTGCCTTTGGAGGTAATTTGATGGATGCGTGGTTACATTTTTTCTTTTGTTATTTCTATTGACAGATTTTCAGTGCCAGGCCAATTTACTTGTATTCAGAATCTTCATGGGCTACCTTCTCATTGTAAGTTGTTGCATGCAAGGTTTCGTACTCAATCAGTATTTACCCCTGGGGCTGGGAAGATGCTCAGCTTCTCTTGAAGCACATGGCCACTTGAAGCACATGGCCACTTGTCACACACTCTTAAAATTTTTTTTTTAAATCAATATTCTGTTAATGAGGAAGTAGTTGGGGGTAGTATGGGGGTGAGAAGTTGGTTGCAGGGTAAACAGACAGTGTCAGCAGTGTCAGCCCCTCTGTGTTTCATGTGTGGACTTAAGTAAGTTGTCAAATTTTTTACTCACTTTTTCAGAGTACAGTGATCACTGGATGTGATCATACCTCTGTCTGAATGGTACTGCGTATTAATCTGTTTCTGTTGCTTATAACAAAATACCTGGACCTGGGTAATTTATAAAGAAACAGTATATATTATTTACTGTTTTGGAGGCTGGGAAGTCCAATGTCCAGGGAACACATCTGGTGAGAGCTTTCTTTGGTAGTGACACAGGGTATCACATTGAGAAATGGTGGAGCAGAGAGAGAGAACCTCTGACATGCTCTTCTTTTAGAGCCTTCAGAACCACACGCATGACCACCATTAAACCATCTACTTAACCACTTCTTCAAGGCCCCACCTTTCATTTACCATAATAGAATTTCCCACCCTCTTAACACTGTCACAGTGAGACCAATCCTCTAATTCATAAAACTTGGAGGACACAATTCAATCCATATCATACTGATTTCATCAGTAATCAATACTGAAAATATTAAATTAAACAAAAACCGTATAACAAAATTGAAAAGATGCCAGACTGATCATTTTTCCCTTGTGTGATTCTAGAAATTGCTTGGTTTGGGGTTGCCAAACTACCAGTAGAATGCTTGGAAACGGTTTCCATATTTTTCATGGCTGCTCAGTTAGAGAAAAGATATCAGACATGTTTGTATAACCCAACTATTGTGAATGAATGAAATCTTAAGTTTTTATATGATTTTAAAATATGTATTTATCACCATCCTCTTAGGAAAAAAATCACGAGTTTTGAGTGATCTGTGTTTAACAAAGTGTCTAGGGTCCCCTACCTCATATTATGCCAGCTTTTTTGAAGTCCGAAATAAAAGATTTGGAAAGTATGCTAAAATGAGGGGTTTGACCAAAGTTTTCCTTCTTTATATTACAGAATGTGCCTTAGAAAATGTCAGTCTGATTAACTCTCCTTTCCAAAGCCCTAGATGCATGTCACAGCTGAGTATCTTGGAACAGACTTTTAAGCTACACATGGTACTTGGGGGCATCATCTCAGGGTCCATAGCTGTATATGAAAGGGCACCTAAGTCTGGGTGACTGAGCCAGGGAGTCTTGATAGTGACTTCCAACTGAAGCCCCATCCTAGCACATGCTGATTGGGAAATCAGCTGGAGCATTGGGACCCCTTGTGATCCTAATATATGACCCAAAGATGTAAATAGGAGTTTTGGCTAGAGAATAGGGGTGGCTGTACTTGTCTCAGTTACCAGGAAATGTAAAGGAGGAAGAAAAAATCCGCACAATTTGTGGGGGGAAAATAATTGTCAGAGGATGTAAGGGAGATTTGGAAAAGGCTCAAATGAAGTTTGAAATGCGGTCCAAAGCACTCTTAAAAGGTGGGAAGACTTCTTTGTGGATTTATTGGCTTCTTTTGATACAGGTGAGAAATTGAAGCATCTAATTTTATTTAAAACCTTACCATTTAGCTAAAGATTTCCTTTGTTTTTCAATTTCATGGTTTTCTGTGCTGAGATACTATCCCTATTTCATTGTTGAATTTAAAAGCAAGGAAATAAAGTCATGCATTACATTAGTTTTTTTCTTCCTCAAATACCATGATTACAGAAATCTTTGCTATTGTGGACCTAACTAAGCTTGTTGCTAAGACTTCAGAGTACTATTGTGGGTAGTTTAGTCACAGTTGGCCAGGACCTTAATGAGACTTTAGATCTTAATACTGAAAAAAGAAAATACTCAAAGGTATTTACTTTGTTCTTAACTAAAGGTGTGTGTCAAATTCTTCCTCCTCTCCATTCTAATTCTGGAGGTTTTCATCCCTCCTTACTTGTCAGAAAGTTCATTCTCCTAAATGTCTTTGTGTCACCCACTAAGTAACAAGCATACTGTAGAAATTTGTTGAATAAATAGATGTATGATTTATTTTAGGATGGAAGAGTGTAGAAAGTGTCCCGAAGTTGGTGTCTGAATATATGTCCAAAAAAATAAAAGTTGACGAATTTGTGACTCACAATCTGCCTTTTGACCAAATTAACAAAGCCTTTGAACTGATGCATTCAGGGAAGAGGTAAGCTTTTTCTTTAACTATATATTATAGAATGGTAATAGTGATTTGGGGTTTATGGGATGGAGGATCAAAAATAATACAATTTTAGTAGTCTTAAAAGAAAAGTATTAAAAACCTATGTTTATTGCTTTCATCTCTTACAGCATTCGAACTGTGGTAAAGATTTAAATTCAAAAGAGAAAAATATGTCCATCCTGTACATAAGTCTTGTGATCTGATGGGAGCAGCTCTTCCAAGTTCACAACCTCTTAGACCGTCAGTAACTACTCTAGATATAGCATTATGTGTGTAATTCATAAATCTCTCTAATCAAGGACAAGGCTAATACAGTCATAAATCTGTTTTCTGAACTCTCCTTCACATAAGTAATTGCTAGCTCATTAAAGAATATTTTAACATAATAAAAGCAATTTCTGCATTTGTGTGGAAGCTGTCATCTGTTTTAAGCTGTATGCATTCTTGTGGTTCCTCTCCCCGTTATCTTCATTCTGTAAAGGAAAGGTGGAAGAAGCAGGGCAGTGGTGTCTGAGCCTTCTCTGCTGCCAACCTCAGGAACATTCACTTCACTTTTAGGGTCTTGTGCCCACTGATTAAAGAACAGATTTCTGAAGCCATCAGTGACAGTTAATCAGAACCCAAGTTGGCTTCTGTGAGATTATCTTCTTGAGGGCAGGCACCATCCCTTTTACATACTTACACTCCCAGTGCCTAGTTTGGCATCTGGCCAGCAGGGGGCACTGAAATTCATCATTGAAACAACCTTCCATGCTTAAGCAAGTGTGTGGTGGTGGTAGCTGTATGAACCATTTCAAGCATATGAAACATAGAGGGAATTAGATACTAAATATCCAAGTTCCCAGCCCCTACTTTTGTAACATCTTATATTTTGCCACCTCCAGATCACATTCCCTTTCTTCCTCCTCTAGTTATTTACCATCCAGAATTGTTTCACTCCTATGCATGTTATACTTTTACTGTGTGTGTGTTTGTGTATCCCTAAATCCTCTAGACTTCAGTATTGTTTTGTATGTTTTTAAACCTTATGTGATGGTACTTCAAAAAGTCCATGGAGAGATTCATATTATCTTCTGTTTTTCCATGAACTTTTTAAAGTACCTCATATTATCTTGTTCTGCAGCTTTCTGTTCTCACTCAGTATTGTGTGATTTTTCTCTATTTTGTATGTGAAGCTCTCATTCATCGATTCTAATACTGTGTAGCACTGTTCAATTATATGAACTACCATAATTTAACTGTTCTCCAATTAATGGCATAAAGTTGTTTTCAGAGTTGTTTCTGTACTAACAATACTGCAGTGGAACATTCTTGTGCATTGTGCTCAGTGTGTTAGTTACTTAGGAAGTGTATCACAGAACAGCATATTTAACCTTACAAGACGTTGCTAAATTACTCTTCAGAGGTGGTATGTTTTTGTGAATCAGAAGGGTGTGAAATGGTGTTTGTAACTTTAGTTTGCATTTCCCTCAATTACTTCTTAAATCTTTCATTCTAATGGCCACTGTATTTCCTTTTTTTGTGAAGGGTCTGTTAATATCCTTTGCCCTTTTTTTTTATCTTTTTCTGACTAAATTTTAGGAGTTCTTTATTCTAGACACTAATCCTTTGTCAGTTTTTTATGTTGCGGTTATCTCCTCCTAGAATAACTTGTGACTTGTTTCTTGGTATTTTGTCAAACAGAGTTTTTATTTTAATTAAATCTGTCTTCCTGGTAGTTAATGCTAATAACATTTAGGTTTTTTTAATCTTGATAAGTAGAAAGAAGTATAAAGTACTTCTTTTTACACGACAGCATATTTTAGATTATTTTTGTATCAGCACATCAGATCTGCCGTGCACATAAATATCTTGTTTGAATTGAAGCTATGTTCTTTTTTAAAAAATATCTTTGATTGATATGGCTTATATGCTCCCACAAGGTGGTACTTTTCAGAGAGCAGTATGTAGTCGATTGAAAAGTGGAAAAGTGGCAGTTCTGATCAGGACTAACCCTTTTTGGATCGTTGGTGCATCTGAAGCACCAGGCAGTGTAACCAGTCTTCTCTCCCATTTTACCTAGACGCTGGAGACACATTAGGTACCTCAATGGCCCCAACTGTTGTCCTCAGTGAACTGGAAGGTAACTAAAACTAGCTTCTACCCCTGCTGTAAGAAATGTGCTTTGGGTCTGGTTTGCTTTAGCACAGCCTTCTAAGAACAAAAGTTCTTGGCAATTCCAATAACAAAATAGGCATGGAGAGTAATGGAGGAAAGCTATTAACTCAAAGTGTTTATTTCCTTTGTGTTCTCATACATGAGATATACTTGAATGGCAAACATTTTTATGTTCACCAATATAAAAATGTGAAGCAGTTTTAAGAGATAAAAATAATGTTACTCCAGTTTTTGTAGCCAGCCAATTATTGAGTTTACTTTTCGTTTCTGCCACCGTTCTCTTGAGCCAGCCAATTAAGTGTAACAAATATTAGCATCTCCTGGCTGAAAGCACAATTGTCTTTTTCGAAGATCCAATATAATAAATAAATTTTACAAGATCCTTACTGTAAGGATTCCTGGATCATGGGACTCAACAATAGGTATAAAGTCTCCTTTTAAAACTCTTCTTTAATACATCCTGTTGGATGGAATCTAGGATGTTACATATGTTGTTGATCCAAACAATTTTTGGAACAAAGTATATAGATAAAGCTCAGGGCTAAAAGCCATTTCACTGTGTGCCTGTCAGCAAATCTACTGGTTGTCCAAAATTAGGATCCTACCACTTTGGAAGGATGGCTGGAAAATTTTTGAAAGTATCTTTAAACTGCTTTCTTAAACAAAAGGATGGATATTAACTTCTACTGCATATTTCGTGAAAGCTAGTAAAAGAGATTTTAAGGATCTAAAATTTTGCAAAATTAGGTACTAACTTTAAGCATCTTTGTTATGTTTAATTGGAACGTTTTCATGTCTATCATTTTTTCAAGTCCTGCCTGAATGTCCTTTAGTATGTTGGGCTATTCCACTTTCTACTTAACCTACTTAGTAATATTTGCTGGAGAAAGTCCATATACAAGTATGTCTGACGTGGAACAAGTTCTTTATTACATGCATAGGGAACTAACATATGAAGTAGAATGTATGGGATAATGGGTCATTGGGATGGAGGTAAGGAAGAAACTGCATTATGTTCAGAATTCTACTAACATGGAGCCAGTTAACACATGGGTACAACTTATACCAAACAAAAACAACTCCAAAAATATACATAATGCTACTTCTATTTATTCCATTTGAATGCAAAATTACACTAAGCTGGCAATTCTCAAAATGTTTTCTTGATTTGAGGAAGGGGAAACATTTTATATGCACAGAAAAGTTTCAGAATTTTTTCTGCTTGGCTACCAATCTGCCAGGTAGGCTGATAAAGTCCTAAGGTAACTGACAGTTCTTTGGGCCTGGAAACACTTTGCTAATCCAGAAAAAAGACCTGCTTTGGATTCAGCCAATTTTGTTTCAGTTAACATGCAAAGTCAGATTCTTTGTCAGCAAATACCTTCTAGAAAATGTATACCACAAACACATTTGGAAAACATTAAGTATGTTTAAACAGCTATTTAGATAATAAGTGCCTAAAACTATACCAAGGGAATTGTATCTTTAAAGAACTACCAAGTGAGCAAGGACTTAAGAAATCCTCTATTACACGCAATTTCTTTTGGTGGAACTTTATGGAAACAAAGCAGCAGAATGGGCTCTTAAGCAGATTGATTTTTATCAAAATGGGCATTATAACAGAATTTCTTGTGTATGAGGTACTTCTGCACATGTTCCTTTCAAGAAAGGATAAACCACCGCAGAATTACCTCCAGTTTAAATGTATACTGAATTACTTAACTGCCAAAAAATATCAAGATGTATTAAAACAAGAATGTGCTTTAAAATATGTTGATCTCTTTCTCTAATTTACATTTTAATACTAAAAGTTCTTATCCTTGGCTTTGTTTCCTCAGAATTACCCAAGGTTCAAATTCAGTGATTTAAGTTTAAAAAATCCTGACCTGAATTGGCTCATGACCCCTGACCCAATTACTGAAATAAAGCAAATTGGCTGTAGAGTGGCAATACATATATAATAAAATATTTGCTAAGTTGTGGTACCACTACACAAATAGGAGCTCTCCATAGAGAAGTGTGGTTGGTCCTCCTAGCCATGCAGTCAGTTAAAAAATTGTAGAAATCAGAGAGAGCCCTGGTGTCCTGATTGTTGGTCTTGTGCTCTTCTCAAGACACCATAGTGCAAATGTG